GCTGTATTAGTTTCAGTGAATTTAGTCTTGCTTGAGTTTTTTTTAGCCCTGTTGGAATCATCAAAACCTAAGGTCCTTTCCATTGCTCTGATCAGCAAAATTAGGGAAAAATGATATTGATTGTGAGGCAATTGGGCTGCTGTCAAAGTGAAGCAAAAGCTAAACATCCCATGTTTGGGAAGGCCAGGATTCCGTTTTCTTGAAGACCTCACCACCAGCTGACCCAGTGCCACTCACCTTTCTTCACTGTGTGTCTTAGTTTAAATTTTCAGTCTTAAGAAAAATGATCTGACTGGTCCAGCTCAGATTAGTCCCCTCTGACCTGAGGACAGGGGAGTTAGCAAAGTTGTGGCACTGGAAGATTGTGTGAGCAGGCTTCCATCTCTGTTGTGTCTGCCTTTTTTTTTTTTTTTTGATGCCTTGTTTTCACTTAAAAATAAGTTTTCCATATTATTTTGTTTATAGCCATATCCCTGTTCATAGCCATAGTCCAGTCTATGGTCTTAGTACCTGGTTTATTGGTGGTGCTCAGTGATACCTTTCATTTGAATTGAGGACAGAAAGTGCATTTCAAGGTTAGCTGTTATTAAAAGTCCTGTGACATCTGTGGTCCAGTGTAAAGGCATTTCCTCCTCTTTTGTATTTTACTTCCTTGTTCCAGATAGGCTCTGAATTAGCCTGAGTTCCTCTGAAAGTAGTCCCTGAGTTTGCCTAACGTCAAGAGCAGGGCCTGGATTTCCACAAAAGCCAAGGTTTATGCAACAGTTTATTTGCAAGGGTGATGTCAGGAAGCAAGTGGGAGAGGGACGAAAAGCATGAAATGCTGGAGATGGGAGAGGCAACACAAGTATTTCCATGTTGCCCAGTGCTACACACAACTGATTATTGATTGCACACAATATTCTGAGAAGTGTTTTGAAATATGTCTCAGAATCCTCCAGAAGGATCTAGATGAAAGAGGGTAGCATTTATTCTTAGGCTTCTATTGTCAATTTGCCAACCTTCAGCCTATGGGGTTTTAGCTATCCTGTCCTCTGGATCTCTCACTGGTTGGGGGCAGAGAGCACAAGTTACAGTAGCAGTACGTATAGGATTTGAAATGGCATATGAGATGTTTAAGACAGCCTTTTATTAAAAGACCCCATTGTGTGCTAGCATTGTTTGGTTTCCATTAAAAATCAAACAGTAAGCTCAGAACTGTAAGCAATTGAAGCTTATCTAGTATAATCCCCTACTGTTCCTTTTCCTTAGTTTTGGTGCCTTGCTCTCCAGCTCATTTCCTTTCCCTTTCTACTCTGAATAGGTCACTCTTCCTCTTCTTGGAGAATGCCATTTTTACTTGAGTCTTCCCACCTTTAAGTTCCATCCACTTAGGGGCCCTTGGGTGGCTCAGTCAAGCATCCGACTCTTTTTTTTAAAAAAATTATTTATTTATTCATGAGAGAGAGAGAGAGAGAGGCAGAGACACAGGCAGAGGGTGAAGCAGGCTCCATGAGGGAAGCCCGACGTAAGACTTGATCCCAGGTCTCCAGGATCACGACCTTGGCTGAAGGCTGCTCTAAACTGCTGAGCCACCTGGGCTGCCCAAGCATCCGACTCTTGATTTCTGCTCAGGTCATGATCTCAAGGTAGTGAGGTTGAGCCCTGTGTCAGGCTCTGTGCTAGGCATGGAACCCACTTGAAGTTCTCTCTCTCCCTCTGCCCTGACCTCTCTCCCTCTATCACCACAAACTCTCTTTCTCTCTCTCTTAAAAGAAAGAAGTTCCATCCACTTAGCATGCTCCTAGTCCATGTCAGAACCCCAAAATGTATGTTGTGGCCCTGGAGTCATAGTTTGTATGGAAAAGGCTTTCAAGTATAGACTTAGTATAAAGTCCTACTTTGATTTGTCTCTGATCTTCTTGATAGCCAGGAAATTTGATATTTAAATGACCTTGCTACATTTTCTTTTCTCTCTTTTTTAAATGGATATGCGGAATATGAAATGAAATTGAGGAATTGTTCATGACAAAGAATGGTGTGATACAAGAAGTGTATTGGTTTCAAAAATGCATTGATTGTCCTCAAATACCCATAGTTGTTGCTTCATTGTTCTCAACTGTATTTCAAAGCAGTGAATAGAATGAGGTCCAAAGACACAAATTAGAAAATACTTCATTAAAACAATTTAATTTACTTCTTTTGCTGGTTTTTAAAAGTCCATAAGCAAGCACTTGGGAAAAATTTACAGGTTATTTTCACTTTTTAAAATGATAAAGCTGAGATGTAGATGTATATTTATCATACACTTATTTGTGCCAGAGTTAATAGCATCTCTGATTGTAACTTCTGAGTTTGTCAGACTAGTTTGTTTTCTCCAAGTGTTTTCTTAACATGTGGATCTACAAACATTTCTTTTTCTTTTTCTTTTCATCCTGATTCATAGATACTTCTGGTCTTAGTTGCTTCTGTAAAATTTCAGAATGAAGTAATTTTGGCAAAGTGTTCTGGACCTTTCTTCTTTAGTTTCAGTATTTGTTAATGTTTTCTTTATTTAGAAGGCTCAAATAACATCTTATATCTCTTGGAATTTACTTATTAGAACTCGATGTTTACATCCAGTTTTCTTTTTCATTTCATTGATAGAGTTGGTGAAAAATAATGATTTTCAGTTTCTATGGTTGTTGCTTTGATACATTTAAATATGCTTAATAGATTACTGTAATTTAAAAATGATCTCTGCCTCCCTTGGGTATTACTGTTTCTTTTATTAAAATAACGTGACTTATTTTTTATTTTTATTTTTTTAAAGATATATTTATTTCAGAGAGAGCATGCTTGAGCAAGCAGGGTGAGGGTAGAGGGAGAGGGAAAGAAGACCCCCCCGCCCCCCCACTGATGATGGAGTCCAGTGTGGGGCATGATCTCCCTATGTAGGGATCATGATGTGACCCTAAACCAAGAGTGGGATGCTTAATTGACTGTGCCACCCAAATGCCCCAAAATAATATGATTTATTAAAATTTGTTAAGTGTAGTTCTTTATGTAAGTTATATAGATGAATCATGCCTGTATTAGGTGAGTAGATAATTGACCTACTTTCAGAAGTGAAGTATTTTTTTAGTATTTCAGGTAGTTTTTCATTGATTTGAAAGATTGTTTTTCAAGATGTGTCAGTGTTTGTTGTGTTAAGGCATTTTCTCTTTAAATTATTTTGGTGTATAGCCTCTGCTCTTTAACCAGATATGATAACATTTTGAATTTATGTGTGATTGCTGTGACAGTCACCATCCTTCCTGTAGCAGAGCAGGCTTACTGTAAATAACTTGGTGTACAATAGGTTGGTGATCTTTCATGTTAAATACACTCTTCCTGGATACATGTTATAAAGTCATGGCTCTGGGAACTTCTTCAACTCCTTTCTTGTTTTTCTTTTAGGATTTTCCTGTTGAACTCGTCATAATTGGAATAGCTTTACTATTGCTACAGACTCCAGCAAGTCAGCAGAAGCCAATCCTAAGTCTAGGTAAATAAAAATAACCCTCAAAAGAGTAAAATGTAAACATAAAAAAAGCGTTAGCTGGAGCCACTTGAGTTTATGGGACTTGAGCTATGTGTATTATGCTATTAAGTCCTGTATACTTTGAATTTTCATTCTAGAATTTTCCTAATTAATCATTGATTCTGAAATAGAACTTTGTTTTTCTTATCCAACAAGATGTTTTGTGCAAAGGCTCCATATGCCATAATTTACCAAGTATCATGGCTGTCCATTAAGACATTATAATCTAAATCATGTAGCAATGACATTGGTCTATGTTTTGAAAGGCATCTCAGCTTATTTACAGCGTATTCATCAAACTGAAAATCAATAGCATAAAACCTTTGGAAACAAATTGTTTAGCATTTGCATTTGTTTTTTAAACTCTATATACTTTTACATTCAAAATTGTTGCAACATTGAACAAGATTTAGCTTATGGTTATTATATTAACCTAGCTAGAAACAAACAAGAGGTAACATTCTTCTGACTCTCCAGAGTTGACTTCAGCAAGAGTGAGGAATGGAGCTTTTACCTCCCTTTGAGGAGGTAAAAAATATTCTGTTTAAGAATATGGTAAAAAAAATCAAGTTGAAAGGCCTGGCAGATAGGCAACCAAGCCACACCTTTAAAATGCAGCTTTTATGCTAATTTTGCCTCTCTTTATTCCATATAACATCTATGTGTAGTAATGGAGGATCTGTCTAAATTATGTTGCCTGGTGCCATGATCTGGTGATATATCCCAACCCTCATTTTAAAGTGCTTGAGGTAAATACTGATTGTGTAGCTCATTGTAGACATTTTAATTCATCATAATTTTGAGGGTGAATTGCTCTTCCAATCTGTCTTGAGAATGGCTTTAGCACACAGAGGGGGCCCTTGGCTTCATACGCTGGTTTTGTCTGTTGGTCTTGTGCTCATTTGTGCCCTCCTCCTGAGGCTTTTTCTGAACTGCTTTTGCCTTTTTTGTTGATTTTGTTGTTCTGCTAGCAGTGCACATGGCATTTCCCATATGTATAATTTGCCAGGGCTGGTACTTCTGACAGCCATAGTTTTGTTTTCTTCTTTAAACAGCTTTATTGAGGTATAATTTACCATAAAGTTCAACATTTTTGGTGTAACAATAAAGTGGCCTTTTTTTTTTTTAAATGAATTTACGGAGCTGCGCAACCAGCACTATAATCTAGTTGTAGAACGTTGCCATCATCCAGTGTGTTACTTTGAAAAGTAGGGAATATCGGTTGTTTAGTATATTGGGAAAGAGTGTTCAAATAGGGTAACTGAGAAGATATTGATGATTTCAAATGTAACAAATGCATAGCATTAATACAATATTATGCTTCTTAATTATTAACACTAGCCTTGATTGTAAATAGCAATTTGCAAAACTGCTTGAAAGATTTATAATATAGAAGATAGAAATGTGTGCATTTCTTGTTTTAGTAAAGATAATAGATTTTCATAATCTCTCAGAGACAATTATGGATAAAGACTAATATTTCATTTGGAACGATAAAGAAAAGATTTGCATGGCCCCCTGTGCAAAGGTAACATGCACATTTGTGAAGTGTCCCATATTTTAAAAATTTAATTAAAGAAATTTAGGCAGAAAAGGTCAATTAGCAGTGTTAGAGTAACATGAGTTTGTACTTCATACCATATTCAGGTTTGACTTCCAAGTGACGAAAAGAAAAAAATGGCAACTCATTGACATGACTTAAAGCTTGTAGAAGTTTTTTGGTGTAGTGGGGGAATCAGTTGATGACTTCAATAATCTAGCTTGGAAGCTTATGAATAACATCTTTTGGTAAATTAGGCTTCATCTAATAATTGTAAAAAATATATTTATGCTTTAACTTATTCTGTTAATGGCCTAGGGGAGATTATACATGTAACTAAGTTATTGTACATTTGTGCGTGTATTTCTGATGTATAAGTTGCGTGTCCATGTTAAAGAGAATCATCTTTAAAAATGGGTTTGATTGTTGCTGCTTATGGACTTTGAGACTTTTTCTGATTAGCTTTTTAGCAGTTACATTGAAGGACATCCCTGCTTCACCTTTACTACTGTACCTCAATATAATTTTAACCTGGGTTTTTAAGGGAAGCATGCACATTGGTTTAAAAATCCACTGATCAGGAACTCTGGTCTCTTGGCTCTGTTGGGGGCAGTAGAAGGACCTGACAATATAAGGACAAAAGTTGAATCAAATTTTATTTTATTTTATTTATCTTTAAAGATATTTATTTATTTATCTATCTATCTATTTATTTATTTACTTGAGAGAGAGAGAGGGAGAGAAAGCATACAGTGTGTATGGGGTTGAGGGAGAAGGGGAGGGCAAAGGAAGAGGGAGAGAATCTCAAGTAGACTCTACCCTGAGCAGGGAGTCTGATGCAGGGCTTGATCTCAGGAGCCTGAGATCATGACCTGAGCTGAAACCAAGAGTTGGATGCTCAACTGACTGAGCCACCCAGGCACCCCAGCTGAATTTTATTTTAAAGATTTGGTTTTTATTTCATGGTATGAATTTTCTCTAAGAGTATCCTCAAGTTATCAGGCACACACGTTAACAGCTTATTTTAGATAATAGCTAATTTTTAGGTTCCTTTCTAAAAAGAGAAGATTGATCATCTTAGTTACGTGTCTGACCCAATTGTAAAGGGGTAAGAAAACTTTCTGCATATCACTCTTAAACAAAATAGCATTTTGTTTGATTGTGGTAGTAATTTTTTAACTGTGAATTATTGTTTTGATGGATAGCTTTGAAGCTTCTCTCTCTTGCGGAGGGTCAGAAAATCCCAAGGTCATCCTTGGTGCTGGTGATGCCAGTTCTGCAGATACTGTCTTCTACTGCCTTGGAAGACTGTATATACATGGATGAAGAAGGTCCCTCAAGGCAGCAGTTGGCTCTAGACGTTTTGGAAATGGTACAGCAGGAGTCCTACAGAAATGACCACCAAAAGGTAAAGAGTTCAGCCTTGTTTCTCTTCAATGAAAGTGAAGTGGTAATGTGGACCTTCTGTTTGTGCAGGTAATCTCCCCTCTTGAGAAAGTACCTGTTTGGGTTTAAACTCCTCTTCTGGGGCAACCCAGGTGGCTCAGCGGTTTAGCGCTGCCTTCAGTCCAGGACCTGATCCTGGAGTCCTGGAATAGGGTCCCATGTCGAGCTCCCTGCATGGAGCCTGCTTCTCCCTTTGCATCTCTCTCTCTCGCTCATGAATAAATAAATAAAATCTTTAAAAAATAAATAAATAAACTCCTCTCCTGGAAGTTTGCCATTCTGTCAGCCAGTGGTGTAGCTATTAGTATATTCTTCTGGACTGTGAGAGGGGAGGGTAAAATAAGCTTTGGAAATGCTGTATACTTTTTTTCCTCGAGTTTTCTGACTACATTAGTAGGTAAAGGTCCTGAGAAATCCTGCAGAACAGGAACTAGTTCTGTTTAACCTGGTGCTTCTCCAACACATTTGAGCCAGGAATCCTTTTTTTCTTCTCATACTGTTGAATTTATGCCTTTATGCAGCATGTTGTTACATCTGGGACACTCCAAAGGTGGGAAATCTCAAATGCCTGGGATTTGTAAGGCCTAAGACTACATTTTTTTAAAAATATTTAATTTTTTATTCATGAGAGACACAGAGAGAGAGGCAGAGACACAGGCAGAGGGAGAAGCAGGCTCCACGCAGGGAGCCCGACACGGGACCAATCCCGGGTCTCCAGGATCAGGCCCTGGGTCAAAGGCAGACTCTAAACCGCTGAGCCACCCAAGGATCCCAAGACTTCAGTTTTTAACATGTAGCCTCTAATGCCGTTTCCCTTGGCATGCAGGCTCTTGATGGCTCGTGGCAGCCTCGTTGGAAGACTGTAGGTCCAACATGCTGCATCCCCGTTCCCGCCTGCTGGGCAGGCCTCAATCTTCTGTGGCAGTCTCACTGTGTCTGTTAGGGTAATGTGAAGGTATTGTCAACATCCGGTTAATGGCTGGCTTCTGGGCCTGCACTAGTTAGACATTTTCTCTTTTGGTATTTGAGTTTTGCCTTCGGTAAAATATAGTATTAGTTTCCTAGCTACGAATGTGATGGGGATTGAGGGAGGACTACAGAAGTTAAACTGGTGAATCTCCTGTCCCCATGGAGAGAGACATAAATAAATGCAGGCAAGAGCCAGTTGTTTCATCTGCCAAGGCAGGGATGCCTCTAATTGTGTGTTGTGAGATGTCCGAGCCACAGAAAGCCAGGCACTGTAATTCCTGGTTTGAGGGTGCAGCAGAAACTAGCCTGTAGGCACATTGACTGTCTACTACATCCTCCTCATTCCTGATTGTTTGTCTAAAACTTGAAAACTTGAAGTAGGTAATCGACTTGAATTAAGAGAAGGAAGCTCTTGCCTTCTGTGATAGGAATACAGAATGTGGCCCAAATTTTCTAATAGCCTTTTACTTTCCCTTGTGGTTTGCTCATCTGTGATTGGATTCTGGATGGGATTGGGGCTGGTGAAGGATGCACTTATGTCTAAGAGTTGTGTCCTTTTAGCTCACAAGCGATATTTACTGAGAATTACCCTGGCTCTAATACAGGAGCACTCAGTGTACCATTCACTCAGGTGTGTGTGAATCTTATTCATTAACACGAGTAGCTGAACTTTCTCTTCAGCAGCTGGTGAAGAGGGAGGAGGGAGCTCTGAACATTCTCCTGATGTTAATGTGATGCTTTATGGGGGCTTGGAGGGGAGATATGATCACCATTTTTAAAACTGTAAGCCACAGTTTGCTGTTGGCTTTTCTTCCATGCCTGGGCAGGTCTCTATATTCCCAACATACCTATAAATTTAACAAGATATAAACTTTTCCACATCTCTTCCTGAATCTTTGCTTTTGCTCATAATGCTGTTTGTCTCCTCCTGACCTACTCATTCTTCAAGACCCAGCCAAATGTTCTCAGCCTCCCAGAGTCCAAATTCATGACCTTCTTCTTGGCATCCCCAGCACTTTTAGTATTACTCAGTTGTGTTGTGTCTTAAGTTAGAGAGCTGTATATATATGTACTTCCAGCTTATACTGCGAGCTTACTGAGGGAAAAGGTCTTGGCCCATCTCACAGGTTGCCTTTATTTTCAAAGCATGTTAAAATTGAAATTGCAACAGTTGTTGAATGTTTTTTATTTTTTCCACATGAGTGTTTTTGCTTTATCTTTGTCACCTGATCATAGATGAGTCTTCAAAGTCTTTTAGCCAGTATTTAATTGAACACTCTATTTTCCATATACTTAAATAAATTAGGTGTACCTATTTAACTTTGCATCCTCAACACCTGACACATTGTTTACTATGCGATAAGCATTCAGTAAATTTCTATTCACTGAGGGTTGTGGGCTTCTCATAAGGATACACAAGATCATTTTACTATCTCCATACATTTTTATTATTTCTTTTTAGATAGATGACTCTGACTTAGCGTGTTTGATTTAGAACTAGAGCAGTTCTTAAGAAGCACAGTTCTGGTGAATGAGAACCAGGGTAAATAAACTGTACCATGCAATTCTGTATTCCCTATCCGTTTCTGAAGTGTTGATAACCATGAAATTAAAAACATTTCAACTTCCAATTTTTAGAATTAAAAAATGTAAGCTATCAAAAGCTATCAAAAGCCACTCATCTTCTTTTAAAGATTAACATAATCTAATAAGCTTTTAATATTTTTTAGTGGTGCGTGGAAAGCAGGATCCCTTCTATTAGGCTATTAAGTGTGATATTTAAAACCACCTATTTATGTTTTCCTAGGCTTAAAAAAAAAAAAAAAAAGAAGCAGACACCAGTTGTAAATTGTAAAATATTTGTGCGCTGGCCTCCAGAGAATGTAGGGGAAGAAAGAAAGCACCAGGCCTGGGTCTAGACATGAGAGAGAGACTGTGCTGGTAATTTGAACAAAGAAAAACTTAATACAAAGAATTATTAACTAGTAAACAGTCTCAATTACTAGCAGTTATAAAAGAGGCTCTAGGAGCTATTGCATTAATAAATGTAAGGAGCAGCCGCTACTTCTAGGACTTGAGATATTACCCAAGGAAGGAACAGAGAAGGTTTTCCTCCTCAAGACTGAGATCAGACCTTATAGAAAGAATGTGGCTCTGGCCTGTTGGATGGTAAAGGTTTTTGGGGTGTGTCAGACCAGAGCTAGTGTGTAGGAAGGCACCCCTGGGGTGCCTTGGGTCCTCCACAGGAAGATACCTGCCAGAGTCTCCTGAATGCTCCTGACAGCCATGGTAGGAGAAATCCCTGAATAATATTCCATTGCATGGATATACACCACATTTTACTTTTCCATTCATCTGTTGATGAACATTTGGATTGTTTTCACTTTTTGGCTATTAATGAATAGTGCCATTATGAATGTTCCTATACAAGTATTTATCTGGACATGGTTTCCTGTCTCTTGGGTAAATACCTAGGAGCGGAATTGTTAGATCATACAATAACCCTATTGATTGTGGGAGGAATTGCCAGACTGTTTTCCAAAAGGACTCTGCCATTTCACATACCCACCAGCTGTGTATGAAGACTCCAATTTGCCCACATGCTTGCCAGCAGTTGTCATTGCCTATGTTTTTGCTTCTAGCAGGTGTGAAGTGATTTTGGTTTTCCTTATGGTTTTGATTTGCATTTCCCTGATGACATTCTTAGAATACTCACTTGACAAGTGAAGAAACTGAGGCTAGGGAGGTTAAATTACCTAAATTACACAGATAGTGAAAGATAGAGTTGACATTCAGATTTTTGACCTGTTTAACTGTAGAGCTTACATCCTATTGCCTCTAATTTGATTTTTTATTTTTTGGCATGGTAATTTATCATTGTGCTGTACTTGCGAATAAATAGAACAGTTTCAGATTTACAGGCTAACACTAAGTCATAGTACATTAAAATAAACCAGTTTCATAAAAGCTTTTGGTTGGAAGTTGAAAGGAATTGGTAAGTCCTAGATCTTGTTTGTCTACCATCATCTTCTGAATAACATGGATACTGAGGATGGTGTGAGTTGTTCTTTGGTGATAAGCAGCCCTCCCAAACCTCTCTGCTCTCTCTCTCTCTCTCTCTCTCTCTTTTTTTTTTTTTTAAGATTTTATTTATTTGAGACAGGGAGAAAGCATGAGCAGGGGGAGGGAAAAAGGGGGAAAGAGAAGCATGCTCCTGCTGAGCAGGGAGCTCGACGCAGGGCTTGATCGCAGGATCCTGGGATCACGACCTGACCTGAGCTGAAGGCGGATGCTCAACTGCCTGGGCCACCCAGATGGCCTACCTCTCCACTCCTGACTGGATTCTAAATAAGGGAAAGAGTAGAATGAACCTCTTGAAGCTTTGTCTAGTCCAGTCTTCTGCTTCTGCTCTGGTGAGTGGTTAAATCGCTTCTAGCAAAAAACTATCCTCCTTTTAAGGGGCTACAGGTTTGAGTTTCAGTACTCCCTCTCCTGATCAAATCCTGGCTCTACTTCAGTTAAGCCCATTTTAATCACTATCACAGAGAAGTGTTATTCTTTTTTTTTTTTAATTTTAAGATTTATTTATTTGAGAGAGAGTGTGCATGAGAGCTAGATTGCAGAGGGAAGGGTAGAGGGGGTGGAAGAGGGGAAGCATCCCAAGCTGACTCCCTGCTGAGTGTGGAGCCTGACATCAGGCTTAGTCTGAGGATGTGGAGACCATGACCTGAGCTGAAATCAAGAGTTTGACACATAACCGACTGAGCCATCCAGGTGCTCCAGATGAATGTTATTCTTTAAAGTTAATGAAAATCTAGATTGTTCACTGAACTCACAATTTCTTTTTCAGACCCCTTTAGACAAAGGAGTACTATCAGATGTCTGTCTTATTGTTAATAATTAACAAACCTGAACATTTTTATTATGAACTTTTTAGAATGAAGATTTGCAACTAATATCTGTAAAATATGTTTTATAACCATTTAATATTTATTTAAGCGTTACTTTTTAATGGTTTCTTTTCTCATACACACACACACACACACACACACACACATATTTTACTGAGATGTAATTTACCTAACATAAACCTCTTTTATTTTAAACACCTGCTTTCTCCTCTAAACTATGGAGCCTGCCAGCACTTTCACAGGCCCTCCCCTGGGCTGTGGGGCCAGGATTTGGTAGCTGGTGTAGAGAAAGCTCTGGGTTGCATCCTTGCCCTGGGACTGTGCCAGGGGCAGCTGTCACTCACTGGGACAGAGAGACTGTTCTGGGATGTTTCATTCAACACTGTGCTTTTCTCCTGCTGTTCTGACCTGAGGCAAACAGACAAAAAACAGAGCCTAAGCATCAACATAATACTTCAAGTAAAACAGGATTTCTTTTCTGTTTCAGTATGTTTACTCTTACCCGTCTGGGTAATGTTGCTGCTTTTGACTCAATTTATGGTTCATGGTGATTTCCAATTACTTTCTTTTATACTCCTATCTACCAGTTTTATTTTTCTCTCCTAAAGATGACAGAGATCATATTTCTCTGTATTTTGCAACTTTAGAGACTGTGCTAGGTGCTTTATTGTGTCACTATCTACCTCAATAATCTTGGCAGGAAAGTACTCATTACTTCCATCTTACAAGTGAGCAAAGTGAGGCTCAGAGATTGTGTAATAGCTTCTATCTGGCATGGTTGTGCTAAAGTCCTGGCTTTTTAAATCTCAAGTCTGGTGCTGTTTGTCCTTTTTCTAATGAACTTGACTCTGGTCTTTAGTGAATTTCATCTTTGGGTAGGGGAAGTATTTTTAGAGAGAAAGAGCTATGATAAATATAAATCTTTAACTTTCAAAATTTATTATTTAAAAAAATTATAACACATCCATGTGGTTCAAAAGTTATAAAACGGTATACAATGGAAAGTTTCATTCTCACCCTTGATTCTGGTTGTTCAGTTCCCACCCTCAAATAGAAAATGATTAGTGGCTATTAATTTATTTTGTATCTGTCTCATACTTTTCTTTGCATATATAAGCAAATACAAATATATAGCCCCCACTCCCTTTCAAAAAATAATTGGTAGCATTCCAGGCACACTATCTGCAACTTGTATTTTCATGAGAGCTCTTTTCATATCAATAAAGAGAACTTCCTCATTTGTTTTGACAGTGGGATTTACTTTCAAATGTCATCTCTACTCTAAAGCATATACTTGAAACAAAAGAACACCCATGTCCTCACACAAACTTTGATTGAACTATTCATAGCAGCTTTATTCATGATAGCCAGAGAGTGGAAATAGCCCAATGTCTGTTAATTGATGAATGGGTAACAATGTGGTATATCCATAGATGGAATATTACTTGCCAATGAAAAGAAACAGGAGTAATGATACAAATCACAGTCTGGATGAACCTTGAAAATAAGCAATGCGAAAGGAGCCAGTCACCAGACAACACATCTGGTGAGGTTCCTATTATATGAAATAGTCAGAATAGAAACAAAGTAGATGAAGTAGTTGTCACCAGGGGCTGTAAGTGTGGTGTTGGGGGAATAAGGAGTGAGTGTTAAGGGAGATGGGATTTCCATCTGGGGATGATGAAAGCTTGCTCTGGTGTTGGTTCCACTACTCCATCCAAATTTAGTAATTTAGTAGAATTACTAAAGTTCACTGAGTTGTAAACTTTAAAAGGGTGGGTTTTATGGTATGTGAATTATATCTCAGTAAAGATGTTATTTAAAAAATAACAGGCTCAGATGGTAGAACATGTGACTGAATTTCAAGGTCATGAGTTCAAGCCCCACGCTGGACGTGGGGGCCTACATAAAAAAAAAAAAAAAAAGAAAGAAAGAAAGAAAGAAAGAAAGAAAGAAAGAAAGAAAGAAAGACATTTCTAAAGCTTAATTTTTACTTCCCATCCTTTTAGTTGTTAGCTGTATCCATATAAGTTAGTCTCTAATAACAGGACAGAGTCTAGAGATTTCTAATTTGTTTCATCCCACTCTGAAGGAATTAAATCGTTTTATTAGCAGGCAGTTATTTATGCTTCTCTAATGTCTCCAGCTTCTCCTGAGCCATGTGGGCACACTGTTCCCCTTGGCAGACTGCTGTCTCTTTGCTGTCCCTGACTGCACTACTTTATTTCTGTGAGGAGCCATTTCTCAGATTGACGTATGCATAACCTCTTCTTTGGGTATCATTTCAATTTAGAGCTGTCGGACTATTTCTTATTGCAGAAGTTATTCACAGTCATTAATTCTCAGGTTGTTGCTGAACCAACTCTGTTCCTGTCAACATACTGTTGCAAAGATGAATTGTCCTCAGTCCAAATCTGCCACCTGCCTGGGATTGTCTCTTACTAGAGGAGGAGCTGGGCACATACAATGACTTTTTTTTTTTTTAATCTTCCCTCTCATGGGGTGCCAGAGTAGCACAGTTGGTTAACCTTCAACTCTTGATTTTGGCGTGGGTCTTGATCTTAGGGTCCTGGGATTGAGACGCACGGTGCAGAGTCTGCTTGTGTCCCTGCTCACTGCCCCCTTCACCCCCATAGACATGCTCTCTCTCTCAAATAAATAAATAATAAAATCTTTGAAAAAAATCTTACGTCTTACTAGTGAATATTTTTTTAGTGATAATGGATTTTTTTTTCAAATTCTGTTGCCTCTGAATCTTGTGTATTGATCCTTTTTATCCCCCCTGCCTTAACTGGGATCGACTGGTAAATAGGAAAATTTGAAATCAACTGTTCTAGATAGTTCTATTTTTTTGTTGTTGTTGTATTACCTCAAATATGTGCAGAGGAGTTTTCAGCAGGAATTGAAAATTTTGTATTTTGTCAGAAGGATTGATTTCTTATGATATAGTCTAAAAAAATGAATATATCTCTGGCAAATATACTTACCTCATTTATTCAAGCCTTTTTGTTTGTTTTTCAGCTCTCCTACAAGCTCGCGTTCCCCGTAACTGGCACGTATGGATCAATATTTACAGCCTGGAGGATCCTTGAAGTAATGAGAGAAGCGTCTGCTGCAAGTGACTGGTTGTTTTCCATTGAGTCCTTGCTCCCTATTACCACGGCGATCCCTGTACATGTTTTCCTTTTGCTGGCTCACCTCCTTGTTGAAGATCAAGGACAAAATCTTCGCCAAATCCTGAAGGTCACTACAGAATTAGCCCAGGCAGATTCCTCTCAGGTAAAGTAAGAAAATAATGGTACAATGATTGGGGTAAAGCTTAACTTTTAGAATTGTAGATTATTCTTAGTTTGTAGGTGATTTTTATCAATGTCTTAAATTATGGGTTGATTCTTTTTTTGGGGAGGGAGGTGGGGGGCTATTTTTGTCTTGTCAATTTGTTCTTTTGTGTTCTTACTCTGAGTTAATGTATACTTAATGATGCAAATGTTTCGTTAATGAAAGCATACTTCACAGTGAAATCTGCACATGGTGCTATTCTGGTATTATGGTTTATTGGTAGATTTGCTAATTGGTAGCACTTTTATTAACTCCTGGAGCCTATTCCAAGATGAATATCCCTTAGTTCTAATATTGATCTTTTAAAGTAGAGGTAGGTTAATTAATTTAGAATAAAGATGCCTGTGGAATAGACATTAATCTCTTTTTGACTTTTGACAGTTTGATCCTATCTTCATTCAGTCATTTAATAAACTAAAAACTACTGAGCCTTTCCTGTGAATGGTAACCATTTACATACTAGGATATGGGGGTAAACAATCATTCTTCCTATCTGCACCAAACTTGGAGTGTAATAAGCAATCAGGCATTAATAGCGCCCCCCCTTAAGCTAACCATATATTTGGTAAAGTAATCTAATTTTTTCCCACTGGATGGACCCTCTAGAAGTAATTTCCTGCAAAGGGAAGGGTTTCCTAAGCAAACAGGAATGGAATGTGCTTATACTTCTTTTCAAACAGTGAAGAAAAAGTTGATCTCTTTATGGAGAATTTGTGTTCCTATAGGAAAAAAAATTAGTTCTAGAGGTGGAATAAATATGTTTATCTAGGATATGAAGTTACTGTATTTGGATTCTTTTTATCCTCAACTTGTCATACTCATTACTTTTAGTCAAGTTAAACAACTACCGATCACAGAAAGTTTTCCTTTTGACTAGATCTCTTATGATCTGATTCTTCAAGTGGATCTGTAATGCCCTAAGTATCTTTGCATCATATATGGTTGTATACATAATGTGAATCATTTCACTTTGCTTCCCACTTTATTTTTCTCTTCACGTTCTGTAAAAATTCTGCTTTTTTTAAATAATAAATTTATTTTTTATTGGTGTTCAATTTGCCAACATAGACAATAACACCCAGTGCTCATCCCGTCAAGTGCCCCCCTCAGTACCTGTCACCCATTCACCCCCACCCCCCCCCACCCTCCCCTTCCACCACCCCTAGTTCATTTCCCAGAGTTAGGAGTCTTCATGTTCTGTCTCCCTTTCTGATATTTCCTACCCATTTCTTCTCCCTTCCCTTCTATTCCCTTTCACTATTATTTATATTCCCCAAATGAATGAGACCATATAATGTTTGTCCTTCTCCGATTGACTTATTTCACTCAGCATAATACCCTCCAGTTCCATTCACGTTGAAGCAAATGGTGGGTATTTGTCATTTCTAAAGGCTGAGTAATATTCCATTGTATACATAAACCACATCTTCTTTATCCATTCATCTTTCGATGGGCACCGAGGCTCCTTCCACAGTTTGGCTATTGTGGACATTGCTGCTATAAGCATCGGGGTGCAGGTGTCCCGGCGTTTCATTGCATCTGCATTTTTGGTGTAAATCCCCAGCAGTGCAATTGAATAATTCTGCTTCTGATAAATGTTTTGTTTCAGTGCTAATACCTTATAGGATAATATATTTATAATAGTTAATGCATAAATAATGCCTGGAGATTATCTAAAGAAGTCCTATAGTAAGTTATCTGACCTATGTGTGCCACTGATGTAAAACATGTATTATATCAGATTATGTGTTGATATTCAGGAAATGCATTGGTCTTTGAAATTCTAGGGTGATACTCTTGGTTATAAGTAACAGAGACATATCTGTCTTAAACAGTTTTTATTAGCTCCAGAATTTAGAATAAGCATGGCCTGGGCAGTATATTCACTATACAGTTCCTTTGTTTTCTCTGTGAATTGGCTGAAAGCCCAAAGCCTTATAATCTTATATTCACAGTCCAAAAGGAAGAGAGCTGTAGAGGTATTTCTATTGACCTTGTTGGGTTATGTGCCCATG